TGATAACTTTATATAAGAGTTATTATATATATCCTGGGATAACTTTATATGAGAGTTATTATATATATCCTGTGATAACTTTATATAAGCGTTATTATATATATCCTGTGATAACTTTATATAAGAGTTTTTATATATATCCTGTGATAACTTTATAAAAGAGTTATTATATATATCCTGTGATAACTTTATATAAGAGTTATTATATATATCCTGTGTTAACTTTATATGAGAGTTATTATATATATCCTATGATATACACACATGTACAAGTCATACACACATATACAAATTTTATAAAATGTGCATGTACAAGTCATATACATCATAAAATGCACATGTACATGTCGTATAGATATTAGATATAAGATGAATAGTAGTGCGAATTATTCTGACGTTTGATCGATATTTTTTTATATCGGTCAGTCGTCGATTAACGTCAGAACTCCGGCCCTCTATGATATGCGGGAAATAAGCGACCTGCACCTGGGTCGCTCTTCAAACTGATATTTTAGAAACAAATCGTCATTTTCAAACACATGCCGCACATGGATTGAAAGATCTATTCTTTATGCACTAGGTGGTATCAATAACATTTTTCAAATATCATTACGAACAGTATTTTCCAACGTTTTCTATACCAACCCATGTTTTTAATGGAAATTAGGGCATGAACAATGTCACATGACTTCACGAGATCTCGCGTTATCGAAGGTATTTCCCAACGTTATGACGTAGCCGTCGATATTTTAGTCACGTATATAGCATTAGAAGGCGGCTATCAAAAACGTAAAGTAAAACAGAGTGAGTTTGAAAAAAAAATGCTTTTAGTGATTGTATTGGTTGTTTGAGGCATGTAATTTATGTTCATTTTATGCATAAAGAATAGTTATTTCGATCCATGTGCGACATGTGTGTGACAGTGACGATTTGTTTCTAAAATATCAGTTTGCGCTTATTTCCCGCATATTATAGAGGGCCGGAGTTCTGACGTTAATCGACGACAGACCGATATAAAAAAAAAGTCGATCAAACGTCAGAATAATTCGGACTAGATGAATACATGTACAATTTTTATCAAATTTACATACAAAGTGCACAAGTCATGAGATGTTACGGCCGCTATCAGCCATCGTGCATTATAGAACAATATGACATAATTAAGAATGATCATATTTTCGCGCCATTATATATTTTAGCAACCTGAAACTCGTGCGTGTCGTTTCTTTCTCATTTTACTAGAACGTCACCGGGTAATGGAAATATGACCGGGGAAAGTATAGCGCGTGGTGATGTCAACACGTTGTTTATTTTTATCTCCGCTATGTAATCAATTAGTCCAATCAGACACGCTGTTATATAGATTAAGTTAATGATAACTATCATTCATGCTTTTGCTAAATGCTCGTTGGCGTGCAAATAAGTGAAAATTTGTAAATGATATATATTTCTGTAAACAAAATTAAAATATTTCAAACCATGTTAGCGTCATCGCCGTTCAGTTATACATGTTTATGGACTCACAGCTTCGTTGCAGCTTGGAGACACCAAATATTAATATCGTAGATTATTAAAATGAGACTACTTAAAATTAAGATAAAGAAAAGGAAAAATAAGTCTATAAGAATTAAACATAATGTATTATCCAGATAATCATATAAGCCAGATTTAGAAAACATTATCCTGGTAATAGCATACGTACTTATTTACATGTATTTATTTGTTTATTGTTTTATATCCGCAATTTAACTTTGTTGTATACTGCTGCAGTAGAAATTGGACCAAACATCCAGTCGCGCTGAACCAATGAAACCAGGAGTTTAACTCTAACGTGATGCACTAACCAATCAGCATCCTCGATATCCTGGGGTTACGCTCACCGTCCGCTTCTACACCCCTGAAATATGCCATAGCAAAATTGAAGGATCGGTGTGTGCCACCTTGTTGATGAGACAAGAAGACTAACTCGATCCTTTGATGTACATCAAAAAGAATCTCGCGGTCATGTAACGGTAAAAATTGGCAGGCTTTGAAGTTGGGCGTCTCTCCTTTGTAATCTTCAAAGGACCGGTATCAGCCTAGCGATTGGTCAGGTGTTTTTTTTACTTAAGACCAATCAAACAGCTATCTTCGTGCCTTCAATTTTGCTATGACATATTCCAGGGGTGCAGAGAGCGAAAGTGAGCATAACCCCTGGATATCGAGGATGACCAATCAGCAAACACGAAGTTAGTTACTCTTGCCTAGTTAATGTATGGCAATAAATTATACAAACCAATAAGGGAAACAAGATTGTTTGTTACCTGAATGTTGGTGGCAAATATGACCAATCCAGAGACGGCAATACTGCACAGCCCCGGACACAGCAACCAGGGAATGTCTAATAATAAAGTAGGTCAGTGTAGGTCAGTGTAGGTCAGGTACGACAATATACGATCTAGCACCGAGTTTACGGAATGCCAGCATGGTGGTGCAACATGATACATATATATACATCTATACAGATCAAGAAATCATTTACAATTTGAAACACCAAAAAATGCTATGATCGGTATACTTTTTCTCCTCTGGAAATAACTCTTCAAAGCGTGTGACTTAATAGGAAGTTAGAATATCCGCAAAGCACAATTAAAATATCTATTATGTCAAACGAAAAAACAACAACAAACAAACAGCATAAAGCCGTCGTATCTAGGTCACTAGCTGAAATAGGAGGGTTACTAGGGCAAGAATATCCCCTCGAAAAACAAAAATTAAAACACGAGCAACGTGTGTTGTTAATACTCAATTTATAATAATACAATCATAATTCGAGGTTCTTATATACCGCCTTATCACAATCTAGTTCGTAGGTCGTCTCGAGGCGGTTCACACACTATTATCCGTTGCAACCAGCCAATATCTTTTTCAACTCTATGGGGAGCATACAGCCGGACCTCACAACTAGCATCCAATAATTCTATCACTGCCCTACCACGTACTTATTTACAGCTGAGTAGACTGTAACAAGCGGAGTAAAGTTCGGAGTAAAGTATCTTGCTCAAAGATACAACACAGTGCCGTGCCGTGCCTCGAACCCGCAACCTTGGTCACGAGCCCGGCGTCCTACCACTGTATACAGTATGATTCCCTCTCAGCCCCAGTGGGGCACTTTCATCTCATGTATACAGTATGATTCCCTCTCAGCCCCAGTGGGGCACTCTCATCTCCTGTATACATTATGATTCCCTCTCAGCCCCAGTGTGGCAGCCTCATCTCCTGTATACATTATGATTCCCTCTCAGCCCCAGTGGGGCAGCCTCATCTCATGTATACAGTATGATTCCCTCTCAGCCCCAGTGGGGCAGCCTCATCTCCTGTATACATTATGATTCCCTCTCAGCCCCAGTGGGGCAGCCTCATCTCATGTATACATTATGATTCCCTCTCAGCCCCAGTGGGGCAGCCTCATCTCCTGTATACATTATGATTCCCTCTCAGCCCCAGTGGGGCAGCCTCATCTCATGTATACATTATGATTCCCTCTCAGCCCCAGTGGGGCAGCCTCATCTCCTGTATACATTATGATTCCCTCTCAGCCCCAGTGGGGCAGCCTCATCTCATGTATACATTATGATTCCCTCTCAGCCCCAGTGGGGCAGCCTCATCTCCTGTATACATTATGATTCCCTCTCAGCCCCAGTGGGGCAGCCTCATCTCCTGTATACATTATGATTCCCTCTCAGCCCCAGTGGGGCAGCCTCATCTCCTGTATACAGTATGATTCCCTCTCAGCCCCAGTGGGGCAGCCTCATCTCCTGTATACATTATGATTCCCTCTCAGCCCCAGTGGTGCAGCCTCATCTCCTGTATACAGTATGATTCCCTCTCAGCCCCAGTGGGGCACTCTCATCTCATGTATACAGTATGATTCCCTCTCAGTCCCAGTGTGGCAGCCTCATCTCATGTATACATTATGATTCCCTCTCAGCCCCAGTGGGGCACTCTCATCTCATGTATACATTATGATTCCCTCTCGGCCCCAGTGGGGCACTCTCATCTCATGTATACAGTATGATTCCCTCTCAGCCCCAGTGGGGCAGCCTCATCTCCTGTATACAGTATGATTCCCTCTCAGCCGCAGTAGACCTACCACTAGACTACCGTACCTCCTTAGTATATGTATATACAGGGTACGTATGTTCATTATGTATATCGCTATCGCTATGGTGAAACAGTTCATTGTGTATCGTAAATATTGTGAACATCTGGATGTTTCGCAACACACAATAACAGCCTAGAAATTAGTTCATCATACTATTATGTTACACTGCAAGATGTGATTAAAAAATTCAAAAAATATTTTGTTTAATCAATATGCTTTCAATGAAATCTGTGTTTTAATCAAACACATGTATTTTCCGAGGCACATCACTGTCGAGACGATAAATCGACGAATATCTGAAGTCAAATGAAAGAGGTCTTCTCATGAATATGTAGTAACATTCAAAAGTACAAATATGCTGCTAAGAGTGACCCTGACCTTTGACAAATGAGAGGTTCCATAGATCAACGCAAAAAATATATTTGAGGTTTGTGCATCAGTTAATCTGTGATGTTTTTCAATGACCTTGATCTTTGATGGGCTATGCCCAATTTTAACAGGGGTTATCTCCATTCCTAGGGCAACTCAAACACTAAAATTAATGTTTGTGCGATCATTTGTTAATAAGTTTTGATCCTGAAAAGAAAAATATTTTTGAGCAGCGACTGAACTTTGACGAAACACTTCCAAAATTGTATAAGATCCTTACCATCCTTTGACAAACCACATATCAAGTTTTGAATTAATGCAATCATCCTTTCGGAAGCTAGCATCTCTGAACGAAAGGTAAATGACAGATAGACGGACAAACATTTCACAAGATTGCTATATCCCCTCAATTCTTTTTTGATTGAGATATGAAGTTACCTTATTCCTTGTACAAAATAGAACAGCCGTGTCTAATTTTATAGAACAAAACGAGACACGATTCTTGGAAAAAATGAAATACGTCATTTTTGTTTTTTGTTTTACCACATGTAAACAGTGTTTGTTGTTGTTGCGGATGTTTACGATGTTTGGTCATCATCATCATGAACGAGAACCACATAGTGTATTTTCACCATTTTAATATATATACATACCCTTTGTCGCGAACGCCACACACAACGCTCCAAACACGAATGTTAAACTGCATTAAAAAAACATGAAAAATTAGAAATGGTACTATATGAATCCCCACACACGATAATGTATACACACTGTTAAAATCGACACCAGCATACTTCAAACGCATTGTATAATCACCATGTCTCTTTACAGTCTCTTTACGATGACCACGCCAATTTACAAATTAAAAACATGATTACCACGCCTACTTAAAACGTAATTAACATAATTACCGCGCCTACTTACAACATAATTAACATGATTACCACGCCTACTTACAAAATAATTAACATAATTATCATGCCTACTTACAAAGTAATTTTAACATAATTACCACGCCTACTTACAAAGTAATTAACATAATTACCATGCCTACTGACAAAGTCATAAACATAATTACCACGCCTACTTACAAAATAATTAACATAATTATCACGCCTACCTACAAAGTAATTAACATAACTACCATGCCTACTTACAGAGTCATTAACATAATTATCACGCCTACCTACAAAGTAATTAACATAACTACTACATGGGGTGATCTCGTTTCCCCCACTTTTTATATAACACGGGAAAATGTTGATTTAGGAAGACAATGGCAAACCAATTATAGTCTGTTTCATAGTTACCCCACAGGTAACTTACCTATGTGAAAGTTACCTGTGTAAATAAGGTTTTAATACTTTATTGGGGTTCAAATATCTTTATGTATAATCGATATGTTTTTTAAACTTATACATATGTAGAGTTTACAGTCAAATATTTATATTACACTTTTAAACAGATAATATAGAATATAACAGCACTACATAAGAGTTCACAATATATTACAATTTTAAAATACATTACCAATATTCACAAATTAGGAATAGTAAAGTTTAGTANCTAAAATTGGCCCCCCTCAAATGTATATCATATCTCCAATTAAAAGTTCAAGTCCAACAGCCAAGAGGCAGACATTTTTGTTGTTATCTATCCTAAATATAAGAGATGTTATCTTTATATGATACTTATATATCATGTATTGTGAATTACGGGTGTGAAGTATGAGGTTATAGTCCTGCACCGCAGATTGAAAATATACATTTATTATTTTTGAAAACCGTATTGGGTGTCAGGAAAACAGTAAATAATGCCATGGTGTATTTTGAACTTGGTCGTTACCCTTTGCATATACAGCGTAGGATTGCTATTGTTAAGTACAGGCTGCAAATATTAAAGACTAATAACTGTATTTTGAGGGCCTGTTACGATGAACTTTTAGAGCTTTACAACAGGACACCAAATTGTAAAGCAAATCGGGTTTATCATCTGAGACGTGATTTGTGTACGTTGGGTTTTGGAGATGTGTGGTTGGCACAATGTGTACCAAATGAGAAATCTTTTTTATTATTATATATTCAACGCATAAAGGATAGTTTTATTCAGGAAATGAGAAACATATTCGAGACATCTTCAAAATGTTTGTTGTATAATCACATTGTTGACCGTTTTGATCTANATGTGTGTTTTTAGAATTAAGAGTATCGTATATCAAGCCATATTATCGTATTCGTCCTTCTGTGTTTAAATTAATAGAGCTACTGTCTAGCAAAAAATTTAAACTTATTAGAAATTTAAGTCAGTACTTGATTCAGGCAACTGTTAAGAGAAGTCGTATATTATGAAATATAAGCTGTATCAAAGTCTTTCTATAAACGTTTTGTTACTGTATAATGCGATTGAGATCTATGTCTTTTACTTCACAATGAGTTATAATCTCATTTCATTATATAATATATAGTACTCGTTCTACCTTCATGTTAAGGTTGTATGATAGACTTTGAAGTTTTGTTATTTCCTAGAAATTTTGTTAGATTAAGGCTTTATTTGTATTATTTCATAAACAACTAAATTATGCAACTAAATTATGCTTCATAAGAGTCCGCTAAGTTACCTTTGGAAAACCTTATAGTTTTCCCAAACTTATGACAATTTCATAATTTGTAAATATTATGTATGGAATTGAATCTATTGCATATGTTCTCGGCCATTGTACAAGATATTTGTAAAATATCTATCTATATGTATATTTCTGTACGCCTATATGTAATGTGCATTTGGTAATAAATTGAATTGAATTTAATTGAATTAGCATAGGCCGTGATCACTTTTAGCTCACATGGATGGAAATGATAGTTTGGATAATTATAGATGTTCAATGATTTAAATGATAGTTATAAGATACTTATAACATCTAGGAATTTTGATTAATTAACTGATTAATTAGCTGTTAAACACCACACTCTTAGTCACACATTACATTCTTACATTTTGTACAAGGTAATGTTGGCATCTTATTAAATGTTACAATAATAAAGATTATTTAATAAATAGTTATATTAATATTTTTAAAGTACTAGAAAATGAAATAACACATTTCATCTTATCATCTTATCAGTACAAGGACTACAAAATGGATATATTTAATACTGAATATATATATTTATGTATATGATTAATATTTTTAATTAATTTTAACATTTATCATTACAAATCTGAAAAAACTTATATAATGTGTTATTTAATTGAATATGGTAAAACACCACCTTAGATAGAAGGGTTAGCCACAGGTAACAACACAGGTAAACAAAGGTAAAAACACAGGTAAATACTGCCCATACTACTTAGAAACAGACTATAATCCTTCTAACAACATTATTCCTTCCATGTTATTTTAAAAAGTGGGGGAAACGAGAACAAGCCCTACCACATCTACATCCACGTTATAAACTAATGAACCATGAACCCTGTACACATGACCTAGTTTCATCAGTAAACAAACCATAATGATAGGTAATCTAAAGATAAAACATGTAAATATGAAAGTATGACTATAGTTCAATATTATTAATCTACATTTAAAAAATAAAATAAAGCTCAAAATACATCAACACAACCAGAAGTTTGGGAGCACTGAACAAGAAGGAATTGATCATCGACCAGACACACGAGTTATCAAAGAGAATAAATAAGGAGTCCACATATAAAATGCATAGCATCCTTAACTGAATTCCTTAGGGCAGCTCTACCCGAAACGTAGATGTTCTAAGATAAGGAAAAGATATCCAATATGCTACTTAACAGTTAGTCAATTAAGAGAAAATATCGAGCCTGGCGAAAATCTAGACATTAAAAAAGAGTGTTTTATGACAAGAAATAAAGAACTATTCTTAACGGCCCATCAACATAGAAGAGGTCATTTGGTCAATGGAAGAAATCAATCAAATTAATCAAAGGAATGAGAGTCTTATACTTAACAATAATTAATAAAAAGCTTTTAATTGAAATTTGATGCTAAAAGTCAAACCATTGAAAATTCATTAATTTATTTAAAATCGAAAGCATATTTTCCATCCAAAGAATATTGTTGTATTGGAAAACCTGTCAAATGTCCAATATATCTATTGCTGGGGCTGTTGCCTGGTTGTGGGTTTAAGTTACCATTTTCAGCAAATTTCGATTTTGGAGAAAAATATTATCTGTACCAAAATAGAGTGGGAAAACTCGCCTCCAAAAATACGTAATAGCGAATGACGTCAAACAAACGAATAACAAAAAAAAGCCAACCCTGAAAGCTAAAGTGGCTGTGGATAATACCTTTTTGAACAGATCAACAGATTTTAAGTAGGTTTAGAATTTTGAGACATTTACCAATTGAAATGTTGTTTTTGAAATTTGGTATAGTGTCATCAACTTTCCTGAAGGTCTATTCCTGAACGTTTTCTTCAGGTTGGTAAGTATGGAATATGAAAAGTTTCTTGTTACACAACCAATAAGTGTTTCTATGTGACGTTTAGATGACTAGTACGATATGTACTCTGTCGACTTCATCATCATCTGAAGGTGACAGAGTACATACCGTACTAGTCATCAAAACGTCACATGGAAACAGTTATTGGTTGTGTAACAAGAAACTTTTTATAATTTGCTGAAGGTCAATGGAATTTGTTAACAAGTGTCCTGTTGTAAATGGTTTGTGAAAGGCTATTTATTGAGGCTGGTCCTCACGTTTCAATAAATAAGAATGGGTAAGGTATGGACATCCTCGTCTCGCCAGTTTTCTCTATAGCTGGCATACCATTCACCGTTTTAGATAGTTAAATAGGGAAAACAAAGCAATAAAATGGGGGTAGGCCATCGCGATTAATGTTTAGAAAAAACAAACAAAAGTTCTAAATTGCGCTTACTTTAAATTTTAAAAAAATCGGGTATATCATATTTTTCATGTCAAGGACGTAGAACGACTCGACTAATGTTATAAACTAACAAGTGGCTTGGGCAAAGCTAAGATACGAGTTGATTTCTTCGGTAGCACTTTTATTACAGAATCAAACGTTGGGATTTCTTAACTTCAGAACATGCATCGATTCAAACATGTGAAACAATGACAGAAGAACAGGTGAGGGAAAACTAAGAACAGGAATCATCTATATCCCCACGCATGATAGATCTACCCCAGGAACTGCTAACAGATTCAATGCATCATTAACGAGAGCAAATCTGCATCAAAGTTGGAAAAAGCAGATCACAACAATACACAAGGAGAGCGACAAAAAGACTACGGGAAATTACCAATTTGTAAGCTTAACCAGCGTGTTTTTGTACAACTATTGGGAAATTAAAAAACGAAAATCATGAATCCGATTGAAAACAAAAAAATATTACGTAAGAAACAATTTGAAATCATTAAAGTCAAATCCACGATACAACAGACTTGTTTTTAAAGCTGATTAGTTGGATAATCAAGGACAGGTGAACCTTCCACCTGGACTTGCTGGTGTAACTACTTCACAGTCAACCAGGAAGTTTCCTTCGCCAATGAGGCATAGTACTTGCACTCATTATACACGTACTCGTGTAACAACACATCTGCCAACACAGACATTTACGTTGTCACTGCGTCTGATTTAAACGCTCTGATAATCCCAAGGCCAAAGTGATCTTTTCACATCGCTGATTTTTGGGAAAATGTTTGTG